AGGCTAATTAATGCCTTGGAGGTGCCCCCCCCCTGCCCCCGGCCCTGTGGTCAGTAAGTACTGTCCTTCCCGTGGTGCTGTGTATTGGTTCCTTTACCCTTCTCACTCGCTTTCTTGTCCTCTTTCATAGATGAGGAAACAGATTTTCTGAGAGTTGTGACATGTTTTTGTAGTCGGCCCAGGCAGGATGTGAACCCTGGCTGCCTGCCTCCGGGTGACCAGCCCATGCTGCTGGTCTAGGAAATGGTCCCGTGCCTCTACCTACCAGGATCACTTGGACTGAGCTTGCATGCTGCCAAATATCCCTGCCTTCATGATTACACTGCCCCCCCCCCCCACCATCCCAGAGCCTGCACGTTCAGCCCTCAATCTCTGAACAAAAGACACACTCAGCCACACTCTGTAACTACAACATAGGAGCCAGAACGCCAGCAGACACAGCTTGTATCTGCCATGGCTGAATGAACAAACTCCCTGGCTGTGTGCTGTTGACATTGGTGTGCTGAGTCTGCCCACTAAAATGTCCATGGCTGGTTAGAGAATCCCCTCATCGCCTCCCCCTGCCCCCCACCATGAGTTCTCCTAGCAGGGAGTCTCCAGAAAGCTAGAGCCTGAGGCAAAGCTAAATGAGATCTGACACAGCCAAGAGTTCAGCCCCACTGGGATGCTGGCCGCAATGGCTGGAATGGTGACTGGGAATTTGGCTGGCAGAGGTAAACTGATGCTTGACTGGGCCCTAAGCCTGTAACCTGTGCCAGCCACCAGGCTGCGTCCCTGCCAATGCAAGAGGGAATTCCACATCCCCATGGGAAATCTTGCATATCCTCCCATGGAAGGGTCCTTCGTCCAGCACTCAGTGAACACTGGGCTACGGACCTAGTCCTGAGGTGACAGTCTTGGGTGGGGAGAGACCCGCCATGCCCTGGAGAAGCTGCCACAATGGAGGAGGGCCCATCTGTGGAACAGGCCATCCACCCTTAGGGCACAGGGCGCATGGGCAGTCTGACAGATTTGGGGTCAGGAGTTATGCAGCTGTATGGAACATGTGCTCTGGGGCTTGGCTCCCTGGAGGTTGACTCTGTCTTTTGCAACTGCAGTGGTTTGGGCTAGTGACTTGTGCCTCAGTTTCCTCATCCCTGAAAACGGGATCCTTAAGGTGCTGACCTCAGAGAGCTGTTGTGACCACTAAATGTGCTCATTTTGACAGTGTGCACACTTCTCGCACATGTGTAACATCTTGTTGGTGATGGTTCTATTTAAGCACTTCCTGTAGTGTGTGTATGTGCGCGCGTGCACATGCACGCACATGCGCACGCGCACCAATATTAGGGCCTGAACTTAGGGTCTTATTGCTGTCCCTTATCTTTTTTTGTTTTTGTTTGTTTGGGGCTTGAACTCTGGGCTTGGGCGCTGTCCCTGAGCTCTTCAGTTTAAGGTAAGCATTCTACCACTTAAGCCACAGGCCCACTTCAGTTTTCTGGAGATGAGAGTCTCATGGACTTTCCTGCCTGTGCTGGCTTTGAATCCTGACCCTCAGATCTCAGCTTCCTTAGCTAGGATTACAGGTGTGAACCACTGGTACCTGGCTCCCTTAGCTATTTTTGCTCAAGGCTAGTGTTCTGCCACTTGAGTCACAAGTATTTTACTTCCAGCCTTTTGTTGGTTAATTGGAGATAAGAGTTTCTCAGACTTTCCTGCCTGGGCTGGCTTCTAATCATGATCCTAAGATCTCAGCCTCCTGAGTAGCTAGGGTTATAGATGTGAACCACGGGCATCTGGCCCCTGTAGATTCTAACTTTTGTTTATCTGTTTTTTTGTTTTTCTGACAGGCTGTCCTTGTGTAGCCCAGCCTGGTCTTGGCACGGGCATCTGGCCCCTGTAGATTCTAACTTTTGTTTATCTGTTTTTTTGTTTTTCTGACAGGCTGTCCTTGTGTAGCCCAGCCTGGTCTTGGTCTTGTGATCTTCCTGCTTCAGCCTCCTAGGTGCTAGGATTATATGTATGTGTGTTACCACACCCAACTCTCAGAGAATCTATCATCTTGTCATGGATTCTTTTTTTTTTTTTTTTTTGGGTCCGGTCGTGGGGCCTGAACTCTGGGCCTGGGCGCTGTCCCTCAGCTCTTCAGTTCAAGGCTAGTGCTCTACCACTTGAGCCACACCACTTCCGGCTTTTTTCTTTTTGCTTATGTGGTGCTGAGGAATCGAACCCAGGGCCTCAGGTATGCAAGGCAAGCGCTCTACCACTGAGCCACCTTCCCAGCCCCTCTTGTCATGGATACTTGTACAAAACTTGCTGATGGGTCCACAGACTGCTACACTAAAACTCTACCAGCCGCTCTAACCGTGTAGATGGTCTGAAAATCAAGAAATATTTTGAATACTTGATACATTTCACATACTATATTTGAAGCAGGGGAGGAGGTGGGAATTTTCATCTGGGGGCAAAGTCAGAGCCACAAATGGAACAGTTAGAAGCACAGCTCTGCAGCCAGGGCCTGAGTTCAGATCCTGATTCTGCCACTTAATAGGTCTGTGACCTTCTGCAAATGACTCAGCCTTTCTGTGCTCTAGTTTCCCCTGTCTAGGGGTTGTTCAGAAAAATCTAGACTGTTTCTAGCCGGGCGCTGGTGGCTCACGCCTGTAATCCTAGCTACTCAGGAGGCTGAGATCTGAGGATCGCGGTTCAAAGCCAGCCCGGGCAGGAGAGACCGTGAGACTCCTATCTCCAATAAACCACCAGAAAACCGGAAGTGGCGCTGTAGCTCAAGTGGTAGAGCGCTCGCCTTGAGCTGAAGAGCTGAGGGACAGCGCCCAGGCCCAGAGTTCAAGCCCCACGACCGACAAAAAAAAGAAAAAAAAGAAAAATCTAGACTGTTTCTATGTGTGAAGTGATGAGAATAGTATCTGGCACATAACAAATGCTATGCATATAAGTAAATATTTGTTTTCAAAGAAGGACACTTACATAGCCAATTATAGTTCCTTTGGGATTGAAAACCAACCTCTATCTATAAAGGAAAGTCTGTAAGCCAGGCTGGGCCATAGTTTCTTTCTTTCTTTCTTTTTTTTGGGGGGGAGGGGGGGAGATCCAGTCATGGGCCTGAACTCTGGGCCTGGGCGATGTCCCTCAGCTCTTCAGTTCAAGGCTAGTGCTTTACCACTTGAGCCACAGTGCCACTTCTGGCTTTTTTTTTTCTTCTGCTTATGTGGTGCTGAGGAATCAAACCCAGGGCCTCATGCATGCAAAGCAAGCACTCTACCACTGAGCTACCTTCCCAGCCCTGGGCCTTAGTTTCTTCATCTGTTAGAGATCGTAATACTGCCCTAGAAGAGACCACATCCCCTGGGATTATGGGACACTGTCCTCATAGGGTGGCATGAATCCCTGGCTTAGCAATGTAGTTCCTCCCATGAGACAAAATCTGGATCTTGCATTCCAGGGGCTCATGGTTTCCAGAGGGGAATGAAAATTTCCTCTCTCCTCACATGCTGCCTCCACCCTGAAGCCAACTTGCCTTCCTTCATTTGGTTTTTGTTTCAACACCCATAAACATCGCTCTGTACTGATGAACTTCACCTTTCAATTCCAACTATGAAACTGACCGGCTATGGGATGATGAACTGTTTCCTTTCTCTGAGTTTTAGTATTTTTTATTTATTCTCTCTCTCCCTCTCTTCCTCCTCCACCCCCTCTCTGTAAGTCCTGGGACTTGAACTCAAGCCCTGGGTGCTGTCTCTTAGCTTTTTGCTTAAGGCTGGCACTCTACCACTTGAGCCACAGCTCTCCGTCCAGCTTTTTGGTGTTTAATTGGAGATAGAGCCTCATGGATTTTTCTGCCCTAGTTGGCTTTGGACTTGAATCCTTTGATCCCAGCCTTCTGAGTAGCTAAGGTCACAGGCATGAGCTACCATCTCCCAGCTATTTATTGTTCATCTATTAAGGAGATAGACAGTACTCTCAGCAAAGCACTGTTGCTGGAATCAAATGAAAACTGCCTACAGTGCACTGAAATGGACCTGGCAGGTCAGCAGATGAAGAAATCACAACCCCTTTTCTTCCTTTTCTTCCGGTTATGTCCTTCTGCCTAGCCTGTCATTGAAGACCTCTGGCTTCCAGACAGCCAGCAAATCCATGAAGGGCTGCGTTAGAATGGGAGGTGAACACTGCCTGCCAGTCTGTTCAGCTCCCTGAAATCTCTTTTACCTTGCTACCTTTTGCACAAGATGTTTTCTTCCTTCCCCTCAGGGCCTGGCTAACCTCTGCCTACCATTCACATCTCAGCTCCAGAGAGTATTTCTTTAATGCTTATCAGTTCCTGTCTCCCACGCAGCCCAGGCATAGGTCAGAGTCTAAGGTCACTGCACAAAGTTCTTTGAAAGATGGAATTTCTAAACTTCTGTGTGGCGCTTTCATTCATTGGTGTCTCCCCACTAGGCTGAAGACCCAGCAGGAACAGAGATGTGTGGATGTGTGTGTGTGCGTGCGCGCAGGTGCGCGTGCACACTCATTGGTCTTAGAGCATAAACTCAGGGCCTGGGCACTGTGCCTTAGCCTTTTCATGCAAGTTTGCAGCTCTATGACGTGAGCCACAGCTCCAGTCCCTGCATTTTGGTGATTTATTGGAGGTAAGAGTCTCTTGGGTTTGTCTATCTGCCTGAGCTACCTTTGAACCATGATCCTCTGATCTCAGCCTCCTGGGCTAGTTTTGAATCATGATCCTCTGAGCTCAGCTAGGATTTATGAGCCACCAATGCCTGGACAGTTTTGCAAATCTGCAGAGCTCAGAACTGAGCCACCCAGACCTCTATAGTTGTTGATGGAAGCAATCAATGTTTTGACTTGGATTGTAAACGAACCCTCTTTGCCATTAATGTTCTTGGACTTGGAGCCTTCCTCTGCCAGCCTAGCAGCTTGTGTCCTGGAATCCTGGAAGTTCAGCTGCAAGGTATGTGGGAGGACTGGAAATAACTGGGGGGAAAGGGGTGGGGCAGACATACCTCCGTCACAATGGTGTCCATGGTGTTATTGTAGACCCAGCCATCCAGACAGGGCTCCGTGGCTCCGTGGGTCTCATTGGGCAGGCTGGTGTTGGGCAGGTGAATGAAACGGAGGCATTTCTCAGGCTTTCCATTCAGGCCCCTGGGGAGCACCCAGAGCTCGGCTGAGGCATTGGGGGATGGGCGGCAGTGGTGGGCAGGGGTGGTGGCCGTGAAGATCTGTAGCAGGTTGTGGTTGGCCATGCCAAGGATTGGGAGTGCGAGCAGGGTCACGTGCAGGTACTGGAAAGGGCCCATGCTGCCCACACGATCCAGAATCTCTGAGAAGGTCATGGTGCTGGGGGAGATGAACCAGAACTGTAGACCAGGCCTGAGGTGCAGAGGGGGGTGAGTGTGTGTGTGTGTGTGTGTGTGACACATAGACCTATGGAGCAGTATGGGAACACACATTTGAGGATGTGTCCAGGTATGTGTGTAAACACGGGTGGGACTATGTGTACATACATGGTAAAGATGCAAGGACAAAGCTGGGCATAAGTGGCTCACACCTGTAATCCTAGCCATTCAAGAGCTGAGATGTGAGGATCACGATTTGAAAGCCAGCCCCGGCAGACAAAGGCTGGAGATTCTTATCTCCAGTGAACCACCAAAAAGCCAGAAGTGGAGTTGTGGTTCAAGTGGTAGAGTGCCAGTCTTGAGCAAACAAGCTTAAGGACAGAGCCTCAGCATTTGAGTTCAAGCTCTGTGCACGCACACACACACACACACACACACACACCGGTGTGAGGACACACGGATTCATGTGTGCATGCACAGGGAGGATATAGACGTACCTAGCTGCGTGGAGCTGTGTAGGGATATCGGTTGTGGATGTCTGTCCAGGTGTAGGGTGAGGTGCCCTCAGCTGTGTAGACGTTTAGCCTGGTTCATAAAGCCCCAGTTGTGAGTGTGTACCTGTGCACATGCACTCCTCCAAGCTAGTCACACAAGCAACATGTGTGTATGTACATGTGGATGTGGATGTATGTGCGCAGACATGTGCGTGTGAGTATGTGTGCGTGTGTGCTGTATACGTGTGTGCCTGAGCACACACGCCTCCCTTAGGCTAGTCACACCTGCTGCATGTATGTGTATGGCATGTGTGCATGTGTGGATGCATATGCGTGCACAACACATTCCTGTTGGCTAGTCACATGTTGCACACATGCACGTGTGTATATGTATGTCTATGTATATGCACACACCTCCCCAAGCTAGTCATACTTGCTGCATGAGTGTCTGTGCATGCACATGTGTATGTGCGTGCATGCACACACATGCTCCCTAGGCTAGTCATATGTGCTGTGTGTGTGTGTGTGTGTGCATCTGTGTACGTGTGCCTGTGTGTGTGTATGCATGGATGGGTGTGCATGTGTGTGTGTATGTGTGTGCACACTCACATGCTCCCCTAGGCTGGTCACACATGCTGCATTCACACATCCACACAATGCAGTCCACACAATGCAGGCCACATAGCAGGGAGTAAATGGCCAAGTCTTAGATGTTGGCTCTACAGGATGTGCAGCGGAAGTGGGTGGGGGACAACCCCGTTGCCGCAGGCAGACCCACCAGGGCTAACTACACGCAAGGGCCTCCCCCAGCCCAGAGCCTCCATTCCTGGCTTCGTTCCCCGTAGATAGAATATCCGAAAGAGCCCAGGTAGGTCCTGGAGGGCATCTGGGCCTCCAAGGGCCACACTGAGGAAGCGGGGCCTGGCGTGGGGGGAGGGGGCAGTGAGCCCTGGGTTCTGGGCTGAGAGACCCTCCTTCCATTCTTACCTGCTGCCTCGGGCTGGCTCCGGCGGAGCTGGGCGCAGAGGTAGCTGAGTCCGTGCTCTTTCCTTCTTGGGGTCTGGCCGCTGTTGGACAATAGCTCAGCTCCAACAAGCTGTGTTTGTACCTCCCCCAGGGGGGCCTTATATAAGGCATAAGCTGTTTCCTGGGCTAATGTTTGACTTTCTTTAGAGGATTAATATCACTGGCAGGGAGAATTTTTGTGAACCCACCAAGCCCAGCCTGAAAGGGCTGCCTCAGCGAAGGCTGGCAGGGCCGGGGGTTGGGCCGGTGGGGGAATGGCATGGCTCAGCCTACAGGGCTGCTGCCTGGATTGACGGCTTAGCAGGGAGGCTCTCCCAGGGAACAGTCTGGGAAGGGGTCTGTCTGGCGTGAGGGTCCTGTGGCCTTCAAAGCTCATGTCCTGAGACCAGTCATTGGGAATTCTCCATTATATCACCGTCTCCTGCCCACAGCTAGATATATGGGGATCGCTTTCCAGGAGGTGACCTTGCTGCCTCAGGACCGCCATGTCTGGGGCCCATGGAGCAGGCAGAGCCTCTGATCTGCGTCTTCCCCAACTCAGTTGGCCAGCCTTCCATCCCATACTCCACGACCTTGCTCTTCTTCTGCTAGTTGCTTGCAGTGCGTGGGGACCCACTGCATTTCCTTTTCTTTCCCCTGAGTATGATTTAAATGATCTAATATACTGTGGGAAGGGTCGCCTCCCACCCTGTTTGCCCAGGTGCATACAGATACCAGGCAAGCCACCAAACATAGGTGCAGATGGCCTGACGCCGGCAGTGTAATCTACCTAAGCCTGGCTGTACACATTCCATCATGACCCAACCGAAAAGCGCCCCCCCCACCTCCCTTGACCTAGTGGCTTTTTCATTAACCTCTGCCTCCTTGCTCAGACCTCATAAAACCCAGCTCCTGTCCTAGCCGTACACACAGTCTCCAAGCCTGCAGGAAGGCCGTGTCTCTCGCTGCTCTATCTCAATAAACAGTCCTTGCCTGTGGAAGATCCAGTCAGTCCAGCCTGTTTCCATCCTTTCCCCTCTATTTTCCCAACACTGTGTGTTTGAAGCCAGGTGCTGGTGGCTCCCATGTGTAATTCTAGCTACTCAGGAGGCTGAAATCAAATCAGGAGGCTTGAAGCCGGCCTGGGCAAGGACGTCCATGAGACTCTTCTCTGCAATTAACCAGCAAAAAGCCAGAAGTGGAGCTGTGCTCCAACTAGTAGAGCACCAGCCTGGAACCAGAAAGCTAAAGTCCAAGCTTGCACACACGTGTGTGCACACAGTGTATTATTTTCTTGCACAAAATGTAGGACGCGGGCTGGGAAGGTGGCTCAGTGGTAGAGCGCTTGCCTTGCATGCCTGAGGCCCTGGGTTCAATTCCTCAGCACCACATAAGCAAGAAAGAAAAAGCCAGAAGTGGCGCTGTGGCTCAAGTGGTAGAGCGCTAGCCTTGAACTGAAGAGCTGAGGGACAGTGCCCAGGCCCAGAGTTCAGGCCCCACGACCGGACCCAAAAAAAAAAAAAAATGTAGGACGCGTTGACAAACTAAACCAAATGAAGCAAACCAAACATCCAGCCCAGGAGAGTCCCTCAGTTTCTAGTCCTTTCTGGTAGAGACTTACATCTCAAACCCCATCTTCAAGCAGCCCCCTTGGGGGCAGTTAGCCCTCATAGCCACCCTGTTACTGTTCTGCATTACCAATGGGAAAAGCAAGGAGGTAAGTCACTTGCCTGGCATCTCCAAGCCAGAAAATGGCAGGAAAGGTGAGCCCAAGTTTTCTATGAAGTCTAATGACCCATATCTACTTTTAGAACCCCCTGGAAACTGCTCCCCCGCAAATCCCATCTGCTCTTGGGAGGGCCAGGAGCAATGCTAGGAAGGGACCCACTGAGGGCTCCCTTTTTTTTGGCTGGGGTGAGCTTTTTTTCCATTCTCTTTTGGGTGTCCTTCCTCCATGAAAATGGCATCCAGCCTCCCATGGCTCCTCCCTCTGGGGTGCCAGCCAGTGCTTTTACCCCCCCCCCCCCCCCCGTGTGGGGTCAGCTGGTTAACTCGGGTTTCACCCCTCCTCTCTCCTTACCACCTGGGCTGAGCAGTTATTGCCGTTCTTCATCCAAGTGGCCCGAGCCAGGGCAAGATCATCCCGCAGTCATCAAAGGAAGATTAAATTATGCCCCCAAGGCAGCTGTGGGCTTGTGGTAGGAAGGTATTTTTGACGGGGAGGCTTGCAGGAGCAGTTGGGCTGTGGACGTAGGTCTCCTCTCCGGTTCTGCTGTTCACTGGGCTTAGAAAATGTCAGGTTCTTAATTGGCTTGGGTCATCGAGGCCCCCCTGGCATTGTTTAAAGAAGCCTGGTGACTTCCCTGAGGTCACTGGGGTGGAGCCACAGCCTGCACATCCCCAACTGCCCAGCGAGGGGCCGGAGAGGAGTCCCTGTGTCCCGGCCTGGCCTCTAGCTCCTAATGGATGGCGCTGGACTCCTGGTACCTGAACCACATTTAAGGTTATATTAAGGATTGTGGGATGCACTGGTCTAACCTTAGGCCAGACAGAGGGGGAATTACTTTTCTCTGTGTCTCTGGCTTCTCATTAGGTAAGTGATGTTTTTAAAAAAAGAAAAGAAAAGCCAGGTGCTGGTGGCTCATGGCCATAATCCTAGCTACTCAGGAAGCTGAGATCAGCAGATTGCGGTTCAAAGCCAGCCTAGGCAGGAAAGTCCATGAGACTCTTATTCCAATTAACCACTAGAAAACTGGAAGTGGCGCTGTGTCTCAAGTGATAGAGTGCTAGCCTTGAGCTGAAGAGCTGAGGACAGCGCCCAGGTCCAGAGTTCAAGTCCTCCGACAACCACCACCAAAAGACATCAAAGTGCCTCCCCCACCTTCCGCTTTCTGTGTGCTGGTACTGGGGCTTGAACTCAAGGTCTGGGCACTGTCCCTGAGCTTTTTTGGTTAAGGTGGGCACTCTACCACTGGAGCCACAGCTCCACTTCTTGCTTTTTGGTGGTCCATTGGAGATAAGAGTCTCATGGACTTTCCTGCCCCAGCTGGCTTTGAACCATGATCCTCAAATCTCAGCTGCCTAAGTAGCTAGGACTACAGGTGTGAGCCTCTGGTGCCTGCCCCTCAAAACTTTTTATTCAAACAATATATTGGGTTCATAAGATCGCTACATAAAGTAGAGGACTGAAGAGCTGCTTTGGCATCCAGAGAGCCCCCTCCTCCTCTCTTACCCATCAGCTACCCTTCTTGTTGGCATCCTCTGTCTCAAGCTACCCACACCAAACGCCTCTCCTGTTAGGAGATCCATCTTTTCTTACCTGCTGTGCTCCTAAATTTACTTCATCCAACCTGGCTTTTTAAAAAAAATTAATTTAAGATATTGAAATTGTTCCCCCTTCTCCTTCCTTTTTCCTTTTTTTCAATCTTTGTTCACTCAGAATCTCCTTCAAGCTGATCTAGGTTCAGTTAGTTTCCCTAGTGCTCTGTTAGATCCTAGTAGGAGCTCATATTTTTCCCTGAAAACATCTAGTCTAAGGTCATCTTATCTGTAGGAATGCAAGTTGGACCTCAGCTTCACCAGATGGGGAAAGACTGAGAAAGGGAATCTTACTTCACTTCTCAGGAGTAGTAGGATACCAAGGAACCTCACTGAATTTTCTATGTGCCTACCACTCATTCATTCATTTGTCCACCATCCATCCATCTACTCATCTACCCACCCATCCATCCATCCATCCATCCATCCACCCATTCATTCATCTAACCCATCCATCCATCCATCCACCCATTCATTCATCTAACCCACCATCCATCCATCTATCCATTCATCCATCCCATCCATTCATCCATCCATCTACCCACTCATTCACTCATTCTTTCACCCACCCACCCATCTACTCATCTACTTATCCATCCACCTAGCATATATTATGAGCTTGTACATCTGAGGCCCCATGCTATGGTACTTCCACTTCCCTCCAGTCTGCTAGTCAGAGCAGACAGCAGTTTAGAAACAATTATAGCACAAAGGAGGCTGATTTCAGTGCTGCAGGAGATGACCAGAGTGGAGGAGAGGGTGAGCGCGCTGTGTGGAGAAGGTGGCGTTGGCACCGAGCTCTGAGGGTTGGGGTGGAATGAGGTCAGCAGAATTGGGGAGAGATGAGAGTGCATAGGAGATAAAATAGAAGATAAAATTAGTTTGGTCAGCAGCTGTCATGCGGGTTCATTTCGAGGGGAGACTGGTAAAGTATACAAGTGGATATGGTGGTATTTCTAGAGGCTATGATGTGGGGGCCATGTATCCCAGCGGCAAGGGGATAAAATGAGAAAAGGGAAAAGTCCTCACAGGCATTCTGCCCACCACCACCATGTGAGCTGCTCATTGCGCCTCCCCACCCCCCATGATGGACTAAAATAAACCTTTCCTCCCCTTAAGTTGTTTCAGTCAGGTATTTGGTCACAGTGACAAAAAAAAATGACTAATAGGCCCAATATGGTGGCTCACACCTGTAATCCTAGCTACTCAGGACAGTGCCCAGGCCTTGAGTTCAAGCCTCAGTACTGGCACACACACACACACACACACACACATTTATCTTCCTACCCTGGGCTGGCAGCTTTGGTCTTAGGGGCTGGGACCTCTCTAACAGCCTCTGAGGGGCTGATGATCCTCTTGGCTTCTCTGTTTTGCTAGGAATGGGAACAAGAAAGCCCTGGAGGTTTTTGGTCCACTGGGCCCCAGGAGCTGACTGTGTCAAGCTCTGTCTGTGCAGAGTCTGGGTCTCTTGCTTCTTACAAAACTTCCAGCAGCTGGCTGCTAGCTGCCCCTCACCTGCTATCCACCTGTCAAGAATTTAAATCAGGAGCTGTAATAGCACACATGGTCCTGTCCTACGACTCATAATGTCCCCTGAAGGGGATGGCAAGGTAATTAGTGAATTCTCAAGGAACTTCACAGTGGCTTCTCAGCCCTAGACTTCATCTCCTGCTTGTTAGAGACCCCCAGATCCAGTCCCTGTTCTTGATAACTCTTGTAGAATAGCTGTCTTGTGTGAGATGGCTTCAGGATGCCCCTCACCCAGGGCCTGGTC